CTCAGCCTCCTGAGTAGCTGGGACTACAGGTGTGCACCACCATGCCTGGCTAATTTTTTGTATTTTTACTAGAGACGAGGTTTCACCATGTTGGCCAGGCTGGTCTTGAACTCCTGATCTCAGATGATCCACCCACCTTGGCCTCCCAAAATGCTGGGATTATAGGTGTGAGCCACCACACCTGGCCAGACTGAGGTCTAATTCCACTTTCCTTATGTACTAGCTTTGTGACCTCACATAAGTTGATCATCTCATTAAATATAAATGGGTATAATATTTAAACAGAAGGTATGTATGAAGTTTCAACAGCTGCTTTAAAAATGAATTAATACATGGCTCATAGCAGGTGTTCAAGTCTTACTAGTTCCTCTCCCTCTTTCCCTAACACTGCCTATCCTGGGGATATTTAAAAAGCTTTGGGCACTGACCCGAACTCTAGGGTACACACGTGTCTTATTTGGTCTCTCTGCAGTGACATGCACACCATGGTGGAGAACCACACCCAAGTCACCTGGTTCTGCCTGCTGGGACTTACAGAGCAGGAGGAGCTCAAAGGCATCTTCTTTGTGCTCTTCCTGCTCATATATTCAGTCACTGTCATGGGCAACCTGGGAATGATCACTCTGATTCATGCAGAACCACAGCTCCACACCACCATGTACTTCTTCCTGGGTGTCCTCTCCTTCATAGACTCCTCATTTTCCATGGTGGACACCCCCAGGCTGCTGGAGAGCTTCCTCATCTCAAGCCAATCCATCTTTGCAAGCTGTGTGGTCCAGATGGCCCTCATGACCCTCCATGGTACTGCTGAGTGTCTGCTCCTGGCCATCATGGCCTATGACCAATTCACCGCTATCTGCCACCCTCTCCTCTGTCACACTATTATGTCCCAACATCGGTGTGTCCTGCTGGTGGTGACCTCCTATACTGTTTCTGTTGCCAATTCAGCTTTGCTGACTGGGTGCATTTTTAAACTGCCCTACTGTGGCCCCAATGTCATTAACCACTATTTCTGTGGCATCCCTCCTGTGCTTCATCTTGCCTGCGTAGATACTACTGAGGGTGAGACCATTATCTTCTCATCGTGTGTCTTGCTCATCCTCTTTACCATCACCATTATCCTAGTTTCCTATGCCTACATCCTGGTGCCCATTTGCAGGATGCGCTCCCTGCAGGCCCAGAGCAAAGCTCTCTCCACCTGTGCCTCCCACCTCACCATCATCTGCTTCTTCTATAGCACCATCACCTTCACGTATGCTCAGCCAAGCTCTCACAATTCCATGGAACACAACAAGGTCATGTCTGTCTTCTATACTGTGATCATCCCCATGCTGA